TTGCATATTCCATTCATATTTTCTTAGTTTTTGTCTGATTGATCTATTTTCTGTACTTCCCCTGATAATGTATTTTCAACTTGTTCCACCAAGGCTTTCAACTGAGTGTTTTTATTTGAGTTATTGAGCTTTATCATTTCTAGGATTTCAATTTGATTTTTTTCAAGGTTTTTGTATCTTTATGAATTCCTCTTTCATATCCTGTATTGTCTTCCTTACTTCTTCAGCTGTTTATTTGTATCCTCTTTGAATTCATTCAGGTGCATATATACCTCTTCAATTTCATTGATTATTTTAGCATTGTTCTGAGTTTGTTGTTTGAAATTTCATCCCCTTCACTATTGTTCAAATCTTCTATTGTAGAATTGTTAACTTTGGGAGTAGACACTTTGTCTTGTTTTTTTCATATTACTTGTGTTTGTACATTGAGATTTACGTATCTGAGGTCAAGTTGTTGGTTGGAAGCTTTAATTGCCTGTAGTCTTTCAGCTGAAATAGTCTCAGTCTCAGGCAGGAAAGTGTAGTGGCTGGGTGAGTTGTTATTTATCACCACTGGGCTGGAGGTTGTGGCTCAGTAGTCAAGCATTCACCCACATACTCAGGGCTTGGGCCTGATTCTCAGCACTGCTCAGATCAGGACAGATTAATTGGAGTCTCTTGTAGAAGGGTCAGTTTTCCACTTCTGGGCTGCTTTTACTATTGAGGCTTCCCCTCTTTGTGTACTGAGAGCTGCTGCTGTATGCAGGGAGCTTTACAGCCTATACGCTGGGCAAGTTCCCATATGTTCCACCCCCAACTCTGGTTTGTGTCCCAAGGGCAGTAAGTGTCCAAGTCATGGGGTGACCCTGAATGTGTCAGAGACTGGAGGAGATCAAACAGAGCACTGAATTATGCACTAGCTGGGGGAGAACTAAGAGACCTAGTCTCGGTCTTGCTGGTCTCAATGTTTACAGACCCTGTTCAGCAGTTCACCTTCTTGTGGGGAGAAGGAAGTTTCATGACATAAAGGTCTTGACTCTTGTCTCTCAGTCCTGACTGTTGGCAAGCAAAACACATGCCAAAATGCAGTTGCCAAAGGTAAGTCTCAGTTCTTTCAGACCCTGCTTGACAATTTACCTCCACATATGTGTCATTATTTAAAAATAATAATTCGTACATAATATTTAGATATCTGGATGTAAGTCTCTCATGATATGAAAATAGCTGTGATTTCTACTCATGACAAAGTACCAGGTGCAGAAAATACTGCTGGGCTCTGTAGCTGTGTTACTGCTGAGGATGAAAGAGGCATGTCTCCCACCTAACCTGGGGCATAGCTCATACCTGGGCATGGCTCACACCTGGGGCACAGCTCATACCTGGGCATTGCTCACACCAGGTCTGGCAAAAACATACAGGAAGTTTCCTACTACCAGGGGAAGAGATTATTTTTTAAAATATTTTAAACAAATATGTTAGTTAAAAAGTCAAAGCATTCACACATGGTAAGGATGGCTGAATTCTGGAAATAAAGGCTGGAAGCATGCCTGGAACCCATGTTAGGTGTTAACATCAGAAGAGTGCTTTGAATCCACTACCAGCAGCCAGCCCTGGTACCATGTTATTCTCTTTAACAGCTTTAATGACACACAGCTTATCTGAAGTCAACCATTAAAATGCATGGTTTCATATTTACAGAGAGATCTTTAGTTCTAGAATATCTCTATCACCTCCAAAAGACATCTTACTCCTTCCAGCACTCCTGTTCCTCACCATGGCAGCTGTAAACCAATGTTTTGTGTCCATGAATTTGCTCATCCTAGACTTTTCACATACAGTTGACTATTCAGGATTCTTAGAAGTTTCTGCAAACACTGAATTAGTGAATACAGAGTCATGGCTCTTGGGGAAAGACATGGTCAGTTTAATGTGAGGTTCTGGCCACAAAATTTTCAAAAACCAGTTGATACATCACCTTGTTTTCCAGGTGTCTGGTTAAAGACACCTTATTTAAAATGTACTGTTGACCTCATAGCCAGCATGCCTGAATGAAGCTTCTCCAACACATGAATCTCCACAAGGCATGTCACAGCTTCCTGTGCTGAGAACCCTAGGCAGCACTTCAGCCCTAAGTTTGGGGTCACTTTAAACAGCAAAATCACCAATGAGAAGCAAAGAATCAAAACAAACAAAAACCAAAAAACAAACCAAAACACGTGAAAACAGGACACTGAACAGGATGTGATGAGGATGCTGGTTTGCTGTAGGAACTAGACACAACACAGAACCTCATTGTGTTTCATCTCAGCTGGGAAAGTACATATCAGATGACTCAAGTTTTCTACCACTCTGTGCATGTCCTCAAATGACCACAAAACCAGTGCATGGTTTTGAATTATGGGGGTTCCAAGTAAAATTTAGCAAATAGACAAACTTGCAAATACAGATCCCTTGAATAATGAGGGCCCTGATAAGTGGCATTCTGTGTCTGGCTTAGTTCCCTTGGCATAGTCTTTTTGAGTTCATCTTTACCATAGCATGTGTCAGCACTTTGTTCCTTCTTATGGCTGGGTAATATTCCCTTGATGAACATATGCACTCTGTTACCCAGCTGGTGGACACTCGGGTTGTGTTAGTGAATAGTGCTGCTGTGCACACTTGAAAGATCTTTGAATGGACCCATGATGTCAACATGCTACGATTCTGGTGGAGTTTAATATCTACACTTTCATGGGATGCTGGCCCATCATTTTACTGTCATGTCCTTGTGCCACTTACAATAAGTAGTAGATTAAATTTTCTAAATGTAGTTGTGGGTTTATTTCAACATTAGGAAGAATGCTGAATTTTCCTTTGTGATAGTAATACAGTTTCCTCTTAAAATCTGTGTCAGTGTAGAAAGCTACCAAGGACACAATGGGTGAGGCTGTGATGACATCATGAGGATGGCCTTACTAGACAGATGCCATGGAGAGATGATGGACTAAGTATCAACCCTGGGGGCCTCAGGACCCCAATCACAGGGGGTCTTCATCAGTGAGTCCTGCATGTAAGAGTGTTCAGTTGCCCATAGGCATATAAGTACCCTACTCTCCTCCAAGCACATCAACTCCAGTCAGAACCCCATGAGAAGAAGACTCTGAGATTCCCTTGTAACATGATCAGGGGCCAAGACAGTGTGTATCCAACAGCCAAGGGCTTGTGGACATGGGACCTCACAACAACTCAGGAGGCAGGCACTGCCCCCTCCCTCACAGAGAGGTCTGATCTCAGGTGACAGAGAAAGGCAGGGCTATTGGCAACAGGATCATGCTGAAAACACCAGAGACTCAGAAACTCTACAACAACCTGGGAAATGTCAGGCTTTTACTCCAAGGATGGAGAAAGAAGGACCAATAGGTAATACAGACAGGGTGCAGGGTGCCAGCCTGCTAGCTAGAAGAGGCAAAACCATCTGAGCTATGTGGGAGGTTGATGCATTCCCACCTGCAACACATAGACCTGAGGTCCTTGTCTCACCTCAGCTTCAGTGACTCCATAGTTAGTGGCTGTGCCTCCCTCTGGCTAGCTTTGTTGAGACTTCAGCCCCCACCTCGACAGACAGAGTGGAAAAAGACTGATGGGCTCCGCATCACAGGGGACAATGAGCAGAGAACAGAGGGGATGCTGCTGAGCTGCAGGAACTACAGTAAGTTCTCAGTCCCCACAGTCCCCCAGCTGCTGTTGGGAAGGGACAGCAGTATGGGCCTCTCAGCACTATCAGCAGGACACACAGCCTTGGCCAGAACACAGATGCAGAGCACTCTGATCTTGTGCCAGAGATCTGGCCTGAAGTGAAGTCAGGGGTCTCCCATTCCCCATTACCACAAGCAAGAATAACAGGAGCTAATATTACAAAGCACAGACTGGAACTTTGAATGCTGCTCAGCATATCACATCATTTACTTGATGGGTAATATCACTGGCACCCCCATTTTGCAAATGAGGACACTTATATGCAGGACGTAGAGGACCTGGCATACATGTGTGAACCCCAGTTAGCTTCCACACCTTGGCTTTGCTGCCCTCTCAGTCAGCATTCTACTGTCCCTTCCTCTGGTTTCTGCACAGGTTCCCCTCCACAATCCTGTCCCCAAGTCTGCCCCTCCTTAGAGACACCTATGGTAAAACCCGTAACAGTACACGGTGCTTTATAAGTGTCACCATTGGCTGCTCTGCTCTGAGGCACTCAGCATGCGTTGTGCACATAGTAGGTCCTCCCCAGGATGGCCAACCCTTTCCAAACAAGCATGCACTGTGGCATAGTGGGTCCATTGTAAGGAGGGATAATCATTACAGAAATCAATTACAAAAATGCCATTTTTCTAATTTCAAGCCTCTCATGTAGTCATTCTTTTCTTCAGCATATTATTTTGAAACAACAAGGTTCATCCACGTTTTGAGATAAAAAAAAAATCTGAAATGCACTTCTGAGTTGTGATCAGCATGAGGTCCCACAGCAATTCCACAACCAGCCCCTGGCCCCCTTTCAACCGTTGATCTATGTTAGTAATTTATTTTCACACAAAATGATGTTGTGATTACCTACAGCAAAGCTAGACTCTCAAGGATAAATGTTAATCAAAGTGATAATTTAAAGCTAACATTTTTCCCAGTCCTAAAAAGATGTGGAAAATACATACTAAGGACCACAAATTTTATTCTTATGGCACTGTGATTGCCCTCCTCACTACTGAATTCACTTGCTGCTGGTTAAAATACTGACAGCACCAGTATTATTATTTTTTCTCAGTATTTAAAAGGCAGAAATCAATATTATTTAAGGTAGAAAATACAGTGTAGGGATTTTTAAGACTTTCTAAAAAATTAATGTTGACTAAAAAATTGATTTTTAAAATCTACTACTACAGACTAGAAAGTAGACTCTTATGGTCCCATCCCACATGGCAGACAAAATTAAAAACTGCATTTCTTTCTTAAAATGATTGCTGAACAAGTGGAGCAGCTCAGCCTCCTAGTACCTCGTTTCTGGATGAAGACTCTGAGCAGGGGATTTGCACTCGAGACTGCCTTGCAGAAGTTGTCATCATTGTTGATGGGGAGCAGGTCCCCATGTACATCTGCGTAGCCAATGGTCACTTCAGTGTTGGAGATGTGGTGGGTGTGCACGACCAGCTGGTAGAAATCTTCAAACTTCCCAGGCTTGTGACGGTCCAAGGAAAACCTTCGGAATTCAGCCCCAAACTGTAAAGCAAGACATGGGGTAAGTAATAAACGGGAGGAGGTGCAGTTTGTTCCCAGACTACATGAGTGACTACTGGGTTCCAGGAGGCCTGAAACAGTGGCCCAGGCTATGTCCTCATAGTGGACATTGGGCAAATGAGATGAAGAACAGCTGCCTCATCCACACTGACCAGGGATGGCCCCTTGTCCACGTGGGCCAAGATCCTAAGTGTAGGATTAGACAGTACTTTGGACTTAGCTTGTTAGAAGAGCAGTGACTACTGTAAATTCAGCCGTGGTAGATATGGGGTCCTGCTGATGACAGATGTTGGCCCCTCAGTTCCCTCAGAAAGGTCTGCATGGCTCTGCCACAGGGCTCAAGGAGCCCAGAGGCAGGAGAGGAAGAACCTTTCAGGCTCTTTATAAGGGTAAGATGGAGCCCTTACAGGTTCAATTTTTATCTAAGAAGCATCCTGGTTAGATTTCTTTTTAATAGGACCACATGGGCACACTTCAAAAGCATCAGAAGTGGAAGGCAATCCGAAAAAACGAAGGACCTTGGCAGAAGGCCTGCTTTGGAAGTCAAAGGAGACAGCATGGTGAATTCTGTTACTGGCAAAAGGACCAAGTTGGTCTCTCTTCAAAAGATAGCCTTAAACTCTCCCTTTTGGACTGTGACTTGGTGGCCCCAACTGGAAAATGCCCAGAGACCAACCTCTTTCCTGAATACACTGGCTCTGGCCCAGCTGCACATGGAGCTCACGGCCACCTCCTAAGAGGACCCCAGCCCAGCTCCTATGGTTACCTCTTGGGGGAAGCAAGAAAAAGACTTTGATCTGTCTGGGCCGGCAGTCTTGGCTCAGGACATTCTTCAGTATAACTGAAAATGGATTAAGTGAGTTCCAAAATGTACAAAGATTAAATATCTAGTGTTATACAAAACTTGTCATATCATCTAGACACAGATGTCTAGATGAATGTCACAGATGAACCATCTCAAATCAATGGGCTTTGCATCAAAATCACCAGTATGGCTCTCAGAACTTGGGTGTGGCCCAAGGATTTATGTTTTTATGAAGTTCCTAGGAGAAGCTGATGCTAGTGGTCAGAGGCCACACAGTGAGAAACTGGGTTAAGGAACCAGCCATCAGACTCAGCTGCCAGGCATCTTTCTGAGACTGGCATGCCTGACAGCATTTCTCTTTCCTACTTGCTCCAGGTCACCAAAGCAGAACCAACCTTTCAGCTACCTGCCCTGCATCTGGGCACCCAACAATGGGACAATTCAAATGGTAGTTTGGAAAAAGTCACCTTCTATGACTGATCAAAAGCCTACAGTCTCCTCCATATTCTTAGCAGGCAAAGAACTGTGGCTCCAGAACCAGTATCTGGCTATCATAGGTCTCAATGTGACTGTGCCCTGGAAACATCAGAAGAAAGGCCTCTTCTTGTCAGAGGTGCAGCAAACCTTGGAACCCCTGCAACCATCATTGACAGACCAGCACCACATTTCATCTCAGTCCTTAACCAAGTACAGAATGCAGGCACAATCTGTGTGTACAGCATGTGGGCCACGAAAGTACCTTTTTAGGTAGGGGCTGCAAAACTTAGAAGGAATAAATCCTACAATGTAAGTTTTATGTGATTTTTTTCAGATTCAGTTATCCAATCCAATGACATTTATCTTGTGAACAGGCGACCCTCATCTTTCCCACCATACACTGACATCTGTATCCACACCTTTTTTTCCCCTGAGCACAAAAGCAACGTAATTATGTCCTGACTTATATGTAGTTTTTATTTGCGTGACCCCCAGTGGGATGCATATACACATTCGCTCCAGACACTACTGTTCCTTCCATGCCTCATCCTTCACACCCAGAAATGTATGCATGAATACCCGAGTTCCACAACACTTCCATCTCAACTAAACTTAGCAACTAACCCAAGATGCTCTTGACTTATTCCTCAGTATTTTAACCATTTCCTAAAATATATCTTCACAAAGAAAAAGAAGTTCAGTCCTTTCTTGAGACAAAATAAGTCTGGCTTGTGTCTGACCATGTGGCAGGTTCTGCTGCCCATTGCACAGTGAAACTGCTTCATGAGTTCAGTGAGCTCCAGAACTTTGACAGAAAGATGTGAAATGTTATATGCTGGAAGCACTTGATTTAAAAACCAGTATTTTATTTCTTGTATAAAATCAGATTAAACAAGGGGCCTCCAAATGAAAGAATTAGTAGGTACAACTCACTGCCATATGATTTTTGGCAAAGCCTTTTTACTTACATTCATTGATACTTTAAAATGTACATGATACTAGTGACGAGGCAGTAAGTCTTGCAAATCAAATCCTATTTGCTTTCAACAAGATTAAATATTTTCCTACTTGACTCTCAGCTAGATTATCTGAATAATTTTAACAATAGACACTCAATGATCACTTATTTCTGAAATGTGACCTGTCAGAGTTCAAAGAGCCCTTAGCCCACCTACTCAGCAAGGAGACCTCTCTCTACTCACCTGCTCATGCAGAGCGTCCCCTGCCCCCATCTGTTCTCACAGGATCACTTACACAAGCATTTGATTTGTTTATATAAATAAAGCTTACACTGGTACTGAGATCCAGAAGGAAAAATAGTCCCAGTCATTTAGCAATGAACACTTTTCATGAAGTGAAGAATTTTTAAAATGTTTGCTGTGGATGGCCTATCATTGTTGGGTTTGGTTTTTTTTTTTTTTGGTACTAGTGTTTGAAACTCATGGTCTCATGCTTGCTAGCAGGTGCTCTATGACTGAGCAATTCTGCTAGGCCTCATTATCAAAATTTGCACCTATGTTTCAATCATGTTTTTTTTTTTTTTTTTTTGTGGCACTGGGGTTTGAACTTAGGGCTTTGCACTTGCCAGGCAGTTGCTCTTTTTACTTGAGTAACTCTGTCAAGTAATGTTTTGTGATGGGTTTTTTGAGATAGGGTCTTGTGAACTATTTGCTGGGGCTGGCTTCCAATTATCATCCTCCTGATTTCTGCCTCCTAAGTAGCTAGGATTACAGGCATAAGCCATCAACACCTGGCTTCAGTCATGATTTGATAATAAATGTGGTGACACAATCTAAAATTTTTTAATTGTAAAAATCTGTAATTCACCATCTTTGCATTATTAATGGTATGGTTAAGGATTGTTAATTACAGTACATCCAATCTCTCTTTTTTTATTTTTTATTTTTTGAGATGGGGCCTCTTTGTGTTGCCCAGGCTGGTATTGAACTCCTGGAATTAAGTGATCCTCTGGCCTCAGCCTCCCAAGTGCAAGGATTACGGGGCATACCAGTGCATCCAATCTCTAGAGCTCTGTTCAGCTTGCAACTAAAACTGTATACCATTGAACAACTTATAAATAATTTTTAACAAATACAGCCTTACCGACATATGAAAAACTTCTCAACTTTTATAAACATTGTTGTTGGAGAGAAAAGTGACAGATAATCAAGCATAGATTATTAGGACAAAATAATAGAACAAATCTCTTAGGAGAGCAATGGCAAAGAGAAATCAGAGAGGAAAGGAGCCAGGTAAAATTTCTGATCATTAAAAAGAACCAGTTTGTCCTGTTTTGAAATAAATGTCCTGTTTTGGAATAAATGGTGGTATCAAGTCACCACAGCATATTTAAAGTTACTGGCTGTATTTAAAAGATCATGTGCTGAAAGCTTTAGGTGAAGTACTTACAGGATGCTGGAGATTATATCCTTTGAAACTATTTATACTTCAAAAATTTAGATACCATCTTAAAAGCACATTATCTCTTTAAGACATATTATAATGGTGGGTTTTGTGCTTTGGTACACACTAGGTAATACACTCTACCACTGAGCACACCCCTAGTTAGCCATAATTTTTCAAAATTCTTTCAGGAGGTATTTGATGTTGGAAGACCAGTGACCACTATAAAAGCACCAAACCACCATTAGAGGCTGGCAGGAGCTTTGCCAGTCCCTGTACTCTCATGTCCTCGTGCATACTGTCCACATAGTAGGGCTTCTGACAGGGGGTACACCTCAATCTCTCAGTACATCCTTTATTCATCTATCACCCCACGCAAAGTGCCTTCAAGGGACAGCCCTGTTCCGGGAAGTCTCATGACAAATGAGTAGCTGACTGCAACTGAAGATGAGTATCTACTAAGAAAAGCCACCTTGCTGGCCTGGCTAGGTCAGTAGGCAATGCACCAAAAGCCTACCTTTCCACCATCACCAGACTTAGGCTGCATCATTTCTCATGAAAAGAATTCCCAGGATTCCCAGCTAAAACAGCAAATTCTAGGCAGGTGGCAAGAAATATTCATGAGCTGGTGAATTCAACCCTTTGGAAGTATGAAGTTGTGGAAGACAATGAGACCAGCAACTAGCCTTAATGATCTGCAGGCAAAGATGGGGCATTCGTGTTTTGGACAACAGTACATTATTGATGAGAACCCAGCTAATATGTGCAAATACGTGTGCTTTTGGGAGCAAAAAATTTATTTGTCACCCTTTGGAGGACAGTAGGGCAACCAACCTATTATTTTGAAGACTAAAAATAAAGGGAAAGAATCAAGCATTTTTATTTTAAAAGTAAGAGCATTTGTTATCCAGAAATAAAATGAATTGTCATTCCATTATTATTTTGATAACAACACTTACCAACCTTGTAGGTGACCCAACTATTATTCCTATAACAGGAAGGCGAGGACTTCACCTCTTAAAACTTTTAAAGTTAAACTCAATACAAAACTCTGGCTAATAAACAAAATTGTATTAGCCTCTAAACGAAACTCATTTTTATAACAAACATTCAACTATAACTACAATAAGAGAATTAAGATACATATTAACTCATCTGTCATCTCTATCATCTTACCCATCCATCCATCCATCCGTGGCTTGAACATGGCTTATTTCCACCAAAATTTATGTTATGGTTAATTATTCAACACAGCATTCTTGGGAGGTGGGTCCTAGTAGGAGGTGTTTGGGTCAGG